ATAGACAGAGAAAGGGGATAGCGAAGTACAAAACAGAAGCAGTCACAGGCGAAGAGGCAATAGTAGTAGAAGCAGAGGGAGTAGCAGTAGAAGTAGAAGCAGAGGGAGTAGCAGTAGAAGTAGAAGCAGAGGGAGTAGCAGTAGAAGTAGAAGCAGAGGAGTAGCAGTAGAAGTAGAAGCAGAGGGAGTAGCAGTAGAAGTAGAAGCAGAGGGAGTAGCAGTAGAAGTAGAAGCAGAGGAGTAGCAGTAGAAGTAGAAGCAGAGGAGTAGCAGTAGAAGTAGAAGCAGAGGAGTAGCAGTAGAAGTAGAAGCAGAGGAGTAGCAGTAGAAGTAGAAGCAGTAGCAGCAGTAGCAGTAGTAGTAGCAGTAGTAGAAGCAGTAAGTAGTAGTAGCAGAAGCAGAGGAGTAGAAATAACTAAGTAAAACACGAGTAAGGCAAGTAAAAGCAGCAAGAACGAGTAAAAGCAGGAATAAAACAGGTCTAAAATACGAATGCAGGTAAGTAATAGTTAAAAGCAAGACTAAAACTTAACTGAAATCATAAAAGAGATTGAATAAAACAGAAATAAAACGAAAACAGGTAAGTATTAGTTAAAAATAGTACTAAAACGTAACTGAAATCGTAAAAGAAAAGATTCAGTAAGAAATGAAAGACTCAGAAAACCCAGAAAAAGAAAGCAAAGTAAAAGCAGAAGTAAAAGGTAAAAGAAGTGAAAGACGTAAAACACAGATAAAGGACACGTAAAAGAAGTAAAATACAATAAAATAATGGGCACTGGATTAAAACAACATAAAACTTACTGAAACATTCATTAAGAGAGATAAAATCAATTGAACTTAGCACTGAATGGAATACTTCCTTGAAGAGGCTCAGCAAATTAAAAAAAAAACATGTAAAACGTGACAACTTGACAGCTACTGAATACTGGTATACTTGGAAAATGTAATATTTAAGTAACCAATGCCTCATTGATTCACACACATTAACGTCCAGCATAAATAAAACCTAGGCAAGTAACAGGAATGGGCTGGTACAACCTTTGGTGATGTTCAGCAGAGAAGAGGGTAATCCAAAACACACAGAATTCCAGTTGACACTGTTTTATTGTCATGGGGCGCGGGCAGTCATAGACTCGTGACGTCACAAAAAAAACGAATCATTTCCAGAAAAAAAAATTACAAATAAAATCCAATTTAATCAGAATACATGATAAAACATAAGATACTAAAATATACACATAAAAACAAACTAAAACACCATAAGATACCAAATAAGAAAAATATACGTACATCAATAAAAATCAAACTAAAACATACATAAAGACAAAAAGGACTCCAGTAATAAATAAAAATACGGGAATGATATAAAACGACAAAATAAGTATTAAAAACTAATGACAGAAGAGTTAAAATAAAACTTTTAAAAAATGACTTGGCAGAAAATGACGTGTCATGTCACTGACACCGCGAAATAAGTTAACTCATTATAAAACTGAAATTAGGGCTCAGGGATAAAACGAGAATCTTAAAACACAAAATAAATATATCAAACAAAAAAAAGAACTAGTAAAAATTAACAGAAGGTGGTAATTAAAACAATTAAAAGCGGGCAATAGAAAACGGGCACAGGGTGACTAATGCAGTCCCACGCAGGGGAAAACCTGGCGCCGTACAAAGTTAAGTGCGAGTGTAACTGGAGTGTGTCGCCCTCTCCTCTGGACTGCAGACCACACTCCACAATCCTCCCATGCCTTGGGTCGGAGTGGTCAGCGGAGACAGGATCTGAAACAAAACCAAAGGGTAGGCCTGAGCCCTGTTACTTGCCTCAACACAAAAGGGTGGGTGTGCCCAGCTGAGACGTATCAGTCGCAATCAACTGGAGCACACAAGACAACAGTTACATAAAATAAACCAAATATACAAACACTCTATACATTGTTGCCGTTGAGCGTCTCGGCTGCAACATTCAGCTCCCTGCGCTCCTCTGGCTCCCTGGCAAAGGATGTCAGAACAGACACCCATGGATCCTCTGGAAGGTCTGCATCCTGGACCGCTGCACCTGGCTGGTTGGTACCATCCTCGCCTCCTTCCTCGTCATCTCCAGGGCCCTCCTCGTCGTTTGCAGGTCCTTCCTCGTCACCGGGACGTCCCTCTTCGTCATCTGCACGTCCTTCCTCGTCATCATCGTCGACAGCATAGGAGAGTTCCTCAGAAGGGCGATAGGGCTTCAGGTGATTCAAATGGGCCTTCAGTTGAACTCCTGTGTCCAAGTTCAGTACTTCGAAGGAAACTGGCCCTAAGCGTCTGATGACTCGAGCTGGTCCACGCCATTTACCACTGAGAGGGGGTAGTCCACCCATACGACTCTTGTGTTCATAGTACCAGACAAGGGATCCCTCTGTAGGCTGGAACACTATCTTTTTGCCTCGGTCGTAGTATCTTCCATAAATCTGCCTTGCTTGTCTGGAAGCTTCTACCGCTGCTTGACGAGCTTCTTGTAGTCGTCCCTGTAAATTGAGATTCTCTGCAAATATGGCTTCATTGGTGAGACCCACAGGAAAATTTGCGTGACGCCCAGTCAGGAGGTAGAT